GGAAACGCTGCTCCATCGAAGCCCGGTTTTTAATAAAAACCCGCTGTAAGTGAGCTACGCCTATACTATATTTAATATAGCTTTTATTTAAATATAGTAATGTTATTAGGACCTTATAATAATTATTTGGGCTATTATTATGGGTTATATAAGTGTCGTTATAATATCTTTTTAACCACTCGCGGTACGGGGAATCTGGTTTGGAGGGCCACTTGGGTTGTTGGATTGAGAAGTGCTATATGCCAAAATGATCCTGCCCTCGGGTGTTCCATGTTTGGCCCTTGTCTGTACATAGTGGGTGAAGATTATTGTTTAACGCTTATATAATAGTAATAATAGATAGACTATTAATTAGTCTCAGTGAATATTAGACTAAACTCTAGTGGTAATGATACTAGGTTTTGTCAAAGGAAAATTGTTTTAAGAGTAACGAAGCGCTGTCCGAGTACCGAGTCACCACCTTATCAGGCGAGTGCATAGTTACTTTCATCTTACACATAGATATGAAGTATTTTATATAAATTACATGCTATGTGTGCATATTATCTGTATATTGGCTATCTATGCTGGATGAACGAGTTTATACAAGTTTTATATGATTTAAACTGTATATGTATTTATATCTACATAATATGTTGGGTAAAACATGGGTAGATGAAATATGAGTTGGATGATGAGTTGAGAGGTGATATAGACCATGAGGTAAGGGTGAGAGGTGGACGATGTGAGAAGCCTTGTTCCCAAATGATGGTCTCGTCATCTAGCAGAGTATGGATGACAACCATAGACTATTCTAGACAGTCTAGTGGAACACTAGCAGACTCGCAACCTGTAGGTGTTGTGAACGATGTGTTCACCCGGTGTACTCTAAACCCTGGCGATCATGCAGACTTGGTGCCTAAACCTTGGCGATCATGCAGACTTGATGCCAAAACCTTGGTGACTATGCGGACTTAGTGCATGTTGTATAAACCCTGGCGACTATGCAGACTTAGTGCCTAAACCCTGGCGACTATGCGGACTTAGTGCCTGTTGTATAAATCCTGGCGACTATGCAGACTTAGTGTCTAAACCCCGGTGACGATGTACTTCGTGTCGATTCCTTAGGAATGAATGAACGAGGAATAGTTGATTCTTAGGGTAGATCCTTAAGAGTAAAGAAGGTAATGGGGATGGGTAATTGGGTTGATTGTTTGATGTTTAATCATAATAGTTATATTATTGTGGGTTGAAAACCCTATGTACTCACCAGGTTTCCCAACCTGACCCACTCAAGCTTATTTGAATCACAGGTGCCGATACGAAGTTACATTACACTGAGAGATTAAAGAGGTGTAGATCACTAGTGTAAATGAATGTAAGTTCAGTTTATGTTTATGTTTCTGTATTGACAATGACATCCCAAATGTTTTAAAATGAATAAAAATACATTTCTCCGGAAATGCTTTGATAACGTATTTATCATGTTTTACTGGGAACAAATTCCGCAACATTTTTATTAAAAGAAGTACTCTGATTTTTATAAAGCATAAACAAAAATTGGTCTTTTCTGGCCGTGAAAAATGGGCATGTCACAATCATTATGAAACTCATTTATTAATCCAACACCCATGTAAATAGATATGGTGGATCGTAGGATTCATTCGATAAATTTTGTTGTATGAAAATCACTCATATTAATATAAAAATTAGAACACTTAAGGACAAAATAAACGATAACCACTAAAACCTAATTATAAATATTGAACCGTCCATTTCAAACTGCCCTTTAGATCTCGGGTTAGGATTTATGTTCCCACATGATTTTTTGGCCAACCTGGATTGCTTAAGCTACTTATAGGCTATTGTAAGACCTAATAAATAACATAAATACGAAGAAAAAAAAAGCTAAATAAGATGCATTCAGGAAGTCTTCCATCGTATTCTGAAATCGTTCATCACATAATGGGCATACATCTCTAACTATTTGAATACAAACCATCAGAAAAAATATTGAAACAAACCTCATTCACAAAATGTGTAACACCCAATTTTCGAGTATGAGTTGTATGCTTTAATCATGTGAATTTTTGGTGGACACAACGTGGTTGGGAGGATCACCACGACGTGGCAACGCCTTTTGAGCTACAATCATTTTAAGTGTCCACGATGTGGTCATGTATTGGCCACGATGTGGTGACGTCTAAGGCTCAAAACCCTAGATTTCGGGACCTGGGCCCTATTTAATGGAAATGATGGCTAGGGTTTCATCCACACTCAGCCTCCATCACCTCCAAGTGCCTTGGAGCAAGCCCTAATCCCCTCTCCTCCATTTTAAACCTTTTATGGTGTTCTTGTTGTTTTTGAAGAACGAAAAAGGTGCTCTAGTGCAAGGATTCATCAAGCAAGCTCATCCCATCGCTTGGTGCATCTTCTAGACTTTTGTAAGTCCACAAGCTCTTATCTTTTTGATGCAATCTTCTAGGTCTAGGTTTTTATGCACATTTCTTCGTTTCTATGTTAGTTTGAGTGGATGGATCCAATGAAGTTGGCAACTTTATTGATCCTTGAGGTCCTAAGAAGGTTAGATGCTCCATATATGAAGTGTTATGTAGTTTTGAGCTCATGTATGGGGCTTTGACTCCATTTCTTTCATTTTGACCTAAGTTGAGTAAAAGACATACATTGGACATGCATGTCCTTAAAGCAAGGAATTTTTTATGCATATGAGTGTATGGAAGCTTTTTGGAAGACATGAGTATGGGGCTTAATGGATTAAGGGCTTAATCCATTAAGTTGTTTTGAACAGAAACCACGATGTGGTGGCATGCTTGCTAGGACGTGGTGGCGGAGCTCGTCACGGTTGTTTTGTCGTAGGATAGCCACAACGTGAACAGTAGTTGGACACGGTGTGGTGACCTACTAAGTTGACTTTGACCTTGATCGTTGACTTTTGACCAGTTTTGAATTTTAGTCAAACTTGGAGAGGTTTTGAGTGGTAGCCTGAGGTTTGGTTTGTAATTGGTTAGGAGGTTCGTGTAGTTGATTCTGTGGGATTTTCGAGTAGAGGATTACAACTCTTTGATCATGTGAGTTTCCTCACTATATTATGTAAGACACTAGATGTATGTAATCTAGACTGTCTGTGTGACTTTTGCATGAAAGATTATGGTGAGATCGCAACACTTGTATGAAAGATTGTGGTTGGATCACAGCACTAGCATGGAAGACCATGATGGGACCATTGCGGGAAAGACTGTAGTGGGGCTGTAGCAACGGAAGTGTATGTGAGACTATGGTAGGATCATAGCATGCATATGGGTTGAAATATACCCCTAGGGGGGGGCTCACTGTTATGTATGGTATGTGTTATTTTGGGAAACTGACTGAGCTTTGTGATTACAATTTAAGTGTAAATGTTTTAGGTACTTCAAGTAGCAGAGGAAAGGAGTCAACTTGATTACATTGCATCCACCGTTGATTTCTGCACTACGAGATTTTGGGATTTACTTTGATATTTTTATGAAAACAATATACTCATGTTTTGGATTACTTGACTTGTGATGTTTATGGAAAGGTTTTATTACTTAAAAATTGAAAAATTTTCTTGGTATTTTTGGGATGTTACAAAATGCATATATTTTCTCTTTGAAAAAAACTTTAAATGTTGTCTCTTCGAACTTTTTTTAAGGGTTTTTTCTAAAATGAGTCTAAAATACTGTTCTAGATGGTGGTTGGTACCACATTTCGAACTCCCTTCATATTGACTATAACCATATAAATTAGAGCTAACAATGGGTCGACCTGGGTTGGGTTCAGGTTCAATCCATTTATTAATTGGGTTGAAGATTTCAACCTAACCTAACATGTTTATTTAAATTGGTTGATATTTCTAACCCAACCCAACCTTTCAGATAAATGGGTTGTCACCGGGTTGACTTGTTTATATAGTTTTCAACACAATCTACTAAATAAATAGGTTAAACTTGGGTTGACTCATTTAAAATAAATATAAATTAATTAATTAACTAAATATTTCGTCTCTGAAATAGTTATAGACTTAAATAAAATTTCAAAGTATGACAAAAATATAATCCCAATTAATATATACAAAGAAATTGTTCAAATAACATTAAATATATGTAATTTTTAAGTGATTTTGGAGAGTGACTAGTGTTGTCGATGCCAAGAAAAAAAGATAGGAATTCGGATTCCATTTTTTAAAACATAAATAATAATACGAACATTGTGATTTACAAACTAATACTTAAATTAATACATGATAATATTTAAATAATTATTAAATTAAAGTTAAATGGGTTGGTGGGTTGAAAACGGGTTGATAATTTTTACCAGACCCAACCTATTTAATTAAATGAGTTAGACGGGTTGACCCATTTAACTTAAATGGGTTAAAAATCTCAAACCAACCTGCTAATTTTAGATTTGATTGGTGGGTTGGATCGATTTTTGCCAACTCTAATATAAATGAGTATCGATCCGTGAGATCTAGATCTAGGGTTGTAAACGAACCGAATGAACACGAACGAGACTTTTTTATGTTCGTTCGTTTAAGTTAACCGAACAAATGAACCAACATGAACGGTTAAACGAACGAGTTTTCTTGTTCATGTTCGTTCATTTAACAAATTACATTGTTCATATTCGTTCGTTTATGTTCGTGAACATGCTAAACGAACATCAACAAACAAACATAAACGAACAAAGATAAACAAACATATATGAACATAAACGAACATATAATATACTAATGTAATCAAACACAATTAAACATATATGGAGATAAAAGGAACTTATAAGAACAAACGTAAACAAACAACATAAACGAACGTTCACGTACATAATTAAACGAACGAGACCATTGTTATGTTCATTCGCAGGCCGGTCGGGAGATTTAGGAGGCTCTGTGCAAATCAGCAGAAAATAGGCATTTATCTAAATTTTTTAGAAAAGCACTAAAAATTTTTCATTTTTATTCAAAAATACATAAATGAAAATTTTCATTTAAAATAATACACAACAAAGGGAATTTGTTTCTCTACTTGAAAACCATAATCCTTCAGTGATTTGCTTTTTGCTTCAGGTTCTTGATTATGTAGAATAAATCTTTGAATCGGTCGTTTGCTTATAATAAAACTGTAAGAAAAAACAGAAATAAAATAATCAAATTGTATTACATTATCAAAAAAAACACTTATTTGCTTCTATCTAAAAAAAATCAGAAATAAGAAAGTTACCTTCTGATGCTTCTATCTAAAAACACTTATGAATGATTGACAATCCATAAACTGTTGCTTCAATGCCTCTGACTTACAGAAAATAGGAAGAAGAAAAAATAAAAGAAAAAAAACTAATTTACTTATAATAAATCATAAACTATCATAAGTAAAAATAGAACCTAAAACGAAAAAGAAAATTTGATTTGTTTTGTACCTTCAAAAATAAAAAAATTGATTTTCTTGGTCTTTCTTATTTTCGAAACTACTTTATGTGTACCTTCATAATCAAAAAATCAGAGATCGTTTACCTTTTATTTCAAACCATATAAAATGAATAAGAAAAAAAACAAGAAAAGGACAAAAATCAGAAATCTCTTACCATCTGTTTTCGAAACCTCAAGGTTGAATTTTGAAGCAGAGAAAAACGATGGTAAGATTCAATTTTTCCCTTGTGATTGTAAGCAATCAAAACTGATTTTCAAGAAGATTTTAGGATTGTTGCTTCTGATTTTCGAGAATAAATAAGAATGAAGTGAGATTGTTACCTCTAAAATCCTTTGATATTAAAAAAAACAATGAAGACCATTGCTGTCAAGGATGGGATACGATTAATTGGTCATCATTAATTTCTGCTTCATGCGTAAATCAACAAACAAAAATCGAAACATTTTTTCTTTTCCTGATGGTTCAGATTTTAAGCAAACAGAAATCGAATAATCTTACATCGACTGATATTAAGAAACAATAATACCGTTGTTGTTGACTGTAGAGAATGATTAAATTTGTGCCCCATGTGTTATCAGCGAAGAAGAAGGAATCGAAGCGACTTTTCTTTTCCCAAAAATTCTGATTTCCCCGCTCTTTCTTTTGTTGCTTGCGTCGCCTGATATTGATAGAAAGATTAAACCTAATTTGTTTTAGGGCCCTGAACATAGTATATTATAATGGCTAAAGAAAATTTGGGCCCTATAATTTTTTAGGCCCTGTTCATGGGCACCTTCTGAACTCCCCATGGGCTGTCCCTATTAATCATTCGTTTAACTAAACGAACGAGAATTTGTATTCATGTTCGTTTATTTATTAAATAAACGAACATAAACGAACTTCCCGTCAAATGATTCACGAACATTTCGTTGAACGTTCAGTTCGTTTACAAACCCTATCTAGATCCTTAACATCGCATTTCAAACCATTTTGTTATTTTTTAAATACCAAAAAAGGGTTGGTTCTTTTGTTAATGGGAGAATTTCGTATATACCCTTAGTAAACATCTAAATATCGTATTTGCCCGGTCTAAACTCTAAATATCGTGTTTGCCCTTCTTAATCTTTGAAAAT